GTAGCAGTTAGATTTAGAGCTTGCTCAAAAGAGTCTCAGTCTATTTGGCTTGTTTAAATGCTCTTTTTGATTGACGCAGTTATGCCAATTGTACGCAAGTGCATAAAAGGTCCCATGTGGTTACATTTTCTTGTTGGGGTAAGTTGTCATCATATATTCAGATTCCCTTCTTCTTTTCATCATGCTACTGTTTTATCTTGTTTCATGCTTGTTAAATCATTAAATCTTTTTCTATACTGATGAATCAATTGATTTTTCATATTTGTATCGATGCAGGCACCGCCTGTTATAGTTCTTTCATCTGCCTGTGCTGGACTAGCAGGTTTGAGATCTTCTCTTCCTCCTTTACTATTGTGGAGTTTTGTGTCAATAAGCTGTAAAATCTTAAATGCTGCATCTTTCTTCGGGGAAATGTTTGCAGGTGGCACTGTACCGGCACTGGCACAGCTTGCTTCATCTTCATACCGAGCAGCGGTCCATTCGTCTGAGCCACCAGAAAATAACAAAATGCACAAGTCTACGACTTCTCCTCTGTAAAACACACAGCACATCTCCCTCTCTCTATCTCTTATGTTCTTTTTTTCTCTCCATTTTGTATGTCAATCTTTTCTATTAGAGGGAGCTTCTTGGTGTAAATGCTTCTGTTTTATACAAATCTCTGGTGCTAAAGATTAAAGAAAGGTTAAGCCATGTGAATGGATTTCTGGGTTTGGTATCTCAGTGTCTATTTTATCTCCATGAATCCTTCTGGTCGCTCTTAAACAAAAAGCTCAACTAACATACCGATATATAGGGGTTATTAATGTCGCTCAGAAGTTTCTGGGGTTTCGTAACAATATTTAAATAGTTTCTTTACGCGAGGGTAGTTTTGGAATTTGAAGTCGGTGATACAGAAAATTTAGGGTTTTGAGCAAAGACATTATAAAACCCGAGCAGCTAAGATTCTCCTAACTTCAAAACTACTTGATCTTATCTGAGCTGAGAAAAAGGGTTTAGGGTTAGGGTTTCGACCTTTTTTCCGATCGTCACCGAGCAACCCCATCTCGCTATGGCCGGCGGCTCCGGTGACGGGAAGGGTTTCGATTCCTTATTCTTTAATTTTCCCTTTGTTTTCTGCGATGAAGACTGCCTGCTGACTGAGCGCACACGATTACTCGGCTCTGTGATGGCTTTGCGGGCTTTAACCCACCCAACCAAAATCAATGTTCTTCGAAATTTTAGATTTGATTCGAAGTTTTCTTCTTCTTAGGTTTTTGTTTTTTATTCGATTCTTGTATAATTAATTTCCAAGTTTTTTTCTCGATGCCTTTTGTTTACAATGAAAAAGTTCTCTCTTTTTTTCTTTTCACTATTTCGTTCTTGTTTGTGCTTAAGTCGTACTATTTCTTTGTAGCCTGCAATACAGAGTAGGACTTGTTTTGGTCTACAAGTAAATATAAATGTCTATTGATTCTGTTTATTGTTTCCTAATCACAAACAAAAGGTTTAGAGATAGATATGGTTAATATTACGATTAGATCATGGTAAGAGTTAATAGGATCGGGTCATGTTGGATCTTGTGAAGAAGATGAGAAGTTTATATTCAAACAGCAGCTGAGTCTTTCCCATTTATGGCTTCTTCTTCGTCTTCTCCTAATGTGTCTTCTTTGATTGTCATTGCAAGGGTTACTAAGCGGCTCTGATTCCACAGATGTGCGGCTTCTTCTGAGGGATCTCAATGCCAGTTCCAATGTTTCAGGCATAACCAGCGGCCGCTCCATTGCTCCAATGGTGTTTGAGCAGACAGGACAAAGCGGGTCTCGGGTTTGAGCCGTTGGTGTCACTTCGTCTAAACACTCAACATGGTAGACGTGATGACAGGGGAACACACCAGTTGCTGGCATGTCTCCACATCTCAATATCTTGTAAGAGCACCATGGAGATCTCTGAGATAGAAGCTTCTTGCAGACCCCGCATCTCTGGTGTGTCATTGAACCTGGTTCAAGTCTTGGGTTTCCTACTTCAGCAGTTTCATTGGACCTTTCAACATCTGGCAACATGTCACTGCTACTCGAGTTTGGCGATGCTTCTTCTACTGGTGAGTCTTGATGGTTTCTTGTGGACATCATGAAACTGGAATCAGGGTTTGTGGATGAGTCTTCTTGCGAATCATCAGGTTTAGGATTCTCACAATCTGAAACGGGATTGCAGAAGACTCGAGGGTAAGAGCGATGGCTGAAGCAGAAAGGCTGCTTGCTTGGAGTCTCTGATGGGGATCCTGATTCTGAATGAGATAACAAAGACCTAAAACTCTGTGAAATGGCTCTACTTGCTCGATCAAAACCTTTGTCCTGCAACAAATAGATCAGGGATACAAGGTTCAGATGAAATCATGAAAAGCTCATGTTGAAGAGTAACATACCGGGCCATATTAACTAGACGACCAACTTACCTCATTCAAGGATTGATGGTTTGAGCGAATTGATCTTGGTGATTGCTGGAAACAGGATTCCAAACTTTTTCGTGATCTACTTCTGCTTGGGGGCAATTCAAAGCCAGGACTCTGGTCGCTCGTATCTTGTTCGAAACCATCTCTAGTATATCCAGAAGGCGAGTAGCTGAGATTCATCCGCCATTGCAGGCCATCATCTTGACTCGATGAAGGAATACCCCTTGTTCTGCTGTGAGGTGGTGATTTGATTGTTACCAGTGGCCTTGAGGCCACAATACAACAGAGTGCACCCGTTTTGAGCTATGTTCGATTCTCACAGCGTACAAGGCTGAGAGACTTCCTACATTGAAGAAGGATTTTCAGATAAAACCAAAGGGCCTTTTATAACTTGTGTAATCACTAAACAGTGTGCAAAGTTGAGTTAAAATGATTGTAATCTTACTTAATTATAAATGAAAGTTCTTGATTATGCAGCAAAATCTCAGAGTTTAGTGATTTAGAAGAAAGAACTAACGAACACGTTCAAGCTTGAACAATACCTCTCAATCGCTAAAGACCAAGCCAGCTCTGCAACGACGAGAACAACAGTAGCAAAATGAAAAAAAACGCCAGTTACAAGACAAAATCGTGTTTAAGACAAAACACTAGGCTCACAGATTCAGACTCGTAACAGCTGTTTTGAGCTCTTATAATCACAGCTGTTACTCGTAACAAGATTAAGCATCTAAAGCATCGGAAAGGTAACCAAGTTTGTGTCGGTGAAAGCAGATTAGATTAAATTGCAGAGAAAGGATAAATTTTAAAAACTGAACACAATTCACCTTCAATCTGGGTTTGAGGAAGAAACCCTAAGAATTTGGGGAGGAGAGAGAGATCTTGTAGAATCGACGGCGAAAAAACGGCGAGAGGGAGAGTAAAGCAAAGAGCGCACTTCTCTTTTGAAATAAGAGACAAGGAGAGAGACGACTGTTATGACTTTCTGAGATTAGCTAATTATTACTCTTAATTATTGA